TTGTCCTTCTACTTCAGCCACCACGTCCCTTTCTTGCTATTCTTCATATACCCCTGCCTGTTCTCCTCGCCTTGTCTTTCCTTCCATCTGGAATGCTTTTTCTCCAGGTCTTCAGACTGCTTGGTCTTTACGTTGCTGGGGGGAGTGGAGGAGTGAGACATTCCTGACCGCCCTAACCAATACAGCCCCAAATACAGGGTTTTCCCTCCTAACTGAACTTACTTCTCCCTCAAAGCATTTATCTCCCAAATACATGCATGTGCTTGTTTTCATTATGTTTCCGCAGCAGGGTGGGGAGACCTTGTCTGTCTTATCGCCACCAGTTCCGCAGGGTCTAGAACAAAGCCACATGCAGCAGATGATCAATAACCATTTACTGAATGATTGAATTACTTATACAACCAATTCAAAATTGAATGCCCTGCAAAGTTACCATTTGTTCATAGAAAATTAGGTTCATTGTGTCTAAACTCTTTGCTTCAGTAGTATTTTATGTTGTTCTTTTTCCTGAACTTACACTCCTTGCTAATTTTAGCATCCCATCTAAACTGATCAGCCTGGCAATTGGCCGTTTAAAGATGTCCTCATGTTTCTGATTTCACTGTGCTCATGAATGACCAGTGTTTGCAGATCTATAGTAGCTAAGGTTTTAATGTTAGGTTTTTTTAAATGATTTCTATTATTTCCATATTCTTTTCAAATTTTATCATATCTACTTTTATTTCTAAAAAAAACTAAGAGCCCCTTTTTGAAAGTGGTAAAGTCTATGTTGAACAGGAAATTAAGCTTAAATAAGAACTGAACCCAAAGGTCTTCAGAATAAATTTTCTCAGTTTTTTAGAATAGACGTCATTTATTTAGTTATTTGCCAGCTTATCAAGACCCTCATAATGACAACATACGTATAGAATATATTATGTGTAAAGTTTTTTCCAATTTTGGTAATACTCACTTTTTGAAATAGGAAGATTCTTCAGGAAAGAGGGTTTTTTTTTTAAATTACAAAGTAAACAAATACAGAGAAGTGCATATTTTGAGGCTGTGGGTCTGTGCTTTGCGCTGTGCGGGGAGTGTGGGCTGGCCACGCCGCTCCCTCTGCCTGACTCTCCCTGCCCCGGCAGAGTGCCGTGCTCCATTTTGCTTTGCATTCTACATGTTAATTGTTTGACATTTAATTGTCTCTCCAAAAAGTTTATTAGCTCCCAGTTAATAGAAGCCCCATCACGGCCCAGATCTTGACAGCTTGAAGACACTTGCAGTACTGTGGAAAGTGCTCAGCAAACCCTGACTAGAATGGAAAAGCCTAGTACTTGGTAAATCCAGAATGGTAGGGAATTCTTTGTGGTAACATTGAGGAAATTATTAAAACATCGTTTAATTATCAAAGAGTAAAACTCACAGAATACTTGGCAAAACCACATACTTCCTGAGCCCTTGTTAATCTGACTGCCATTCCAAGGGAGGAAAGAAACTACTTTTCACGTTGTGACTTAATGTAGCTTGCTTTTCTCTAGCAAAAGTGGAACACAGGAATTGGATTTCACACATTATTTATGACTTTGTAATAGGGATCTTCTCTTTACTTGCATTCAGTATTTATTCTGAACTTTCTCTTTTAAAAATAAAAAAAAATCTATTAAAGCTACCACAGGACATGGAGCAAAGACGGGTAACTGCTTAGCTAAGGAGATGCTACAGCTTGTTGTGTTAGAGGGGCAGAAAGAGATCACCATGCAATCTAACAGGTTTCTAGGAATTAATGCAGAGTGCTGCCTAGGAAAGAGGAAAGATTTAGGGGCAGAATGCAAAGAGAATTCTCTTTAGATTGAAATTATATTTTGTGGCTTTCCTAAGTTGTTGTTTAAAGATTTTCCTACCTAGCTCCAAAGACACCATCTCCAAAGTTCCAGAGTTTTTTCTGTTCAGCACGAAAATGCCTGTCACTGGGCGGCTGTCAGAGCAGCCAGGTGAAACATGGTACGTAGAGACACAGATGGTTAGGAGGAAAGAGAGATCATCACCCCATCTCCAGGTGGTGAAGTATGATCTCAAAGAGCCAGAGTGTCCTGGGTTCAAATCCTCACTCCACTATTTGCTGGCTATTGGTCTTGGACAAATTATTTTATTTCTTGTGTCTTACGTTTTTCATCTATAAAATGGTGATGATACTAGTACCTACGTCAACATATTTATGAGGATTGCATGTGGTAATATTTGCCAAGCACTTGGAACAGTGCCAGGTGTTGGATAAGGGCTATATATAGGAGTTAGCTACAGGTATTTCATTATAGGTGGAGGTGATGAAGTGGCTGCCTCACCGTACGTACTTGTGTCTGTGTTGTGTGTAACAAACATGGGTGCTCTTCATGACTGCTTATTATACAGGAACGTGGGGAACACTTACAATGACTATGCTTTTGTGACAAATCTAAATGTAAAGATAAAAATAGAAATGTCCCTTGCTTGACTGAGCAAAGCTCAGAAGAGAAGGGGTTGGTTGGATGTAGGGTGGACTTACTTGGTCTAATGTATTGGCTAATTCTCTCTTTCAGTCTGTCTGAGAAGCTACAGTTAATTTCCACTAACTCACCCAGTATTGGGTGCTGGAACCCTAGACCCTGAAAGAAGCTGGCCCCCACCCACCCCACCCTCTCTTCCTTTCTCTGCATCAATGTCCCTGCCAAGCGAACACCGCTGAGGGATGGGGTTCAGCAATCAGGATGGCCCTAAAGATTGCGGTGTAAAGGGGGTGGATGGGATGAGCATGCGGTAGAGTGAAGGTAACTGGAGGTCCCAGAGCAGCCCAACCCGGCCAGTTTAAACCCTATGAAGCTCCTGCTGACTGAGAAAATCATACGAAATTGGTTTTAACTTCGAAACAATCATCCAAAAGCATTATGTTCTCTCCTGGATTTTTTTCCATAACGCCCTGTACCTGGCTCCTACCACTGTGTTAAGATGTCTGCTGCCCTGCCCGCGTCCACACTGAATGGCTCCTCCCATGAAGACAGGAAGCACTTGACTGGCGATTTAAATGAGCTCAGGTAGACGCTTAGGTTAGTAGCGCAGCTCGTGAGAATCTCATCGCTTCACACGCCGACCCAACTCCCCTCCCTACACCCACGGGTTCCCATTCTCTTTCCCTGTGGTTTCTCCTTAGCTCTCACCCTCTAACATACTGCGTGTTGTACCGATTTGTTCATTCAGCATCTATCTCCGCATGAGACCACGTGTTCCCGAGGGCAGAGAGCTTCATCTGCTTTGTGCATGGCTACAGCCCAATACCTAGAGCCATGCCAGGCTCTTAGAACGGATGAAGTAGACAAATGCTAGTTACTATTATGACTTTACTGTTTAAAACTGTTGTACCGATTGAGAGAACATCATTTTAAATTTTAAAATGAAAGCCCTCAGAGCCTTCCCAATGTTCCTGTAATACAAACCTTTCATTCCAGATATGGCAATGTCAGTTGTTTAATTATACCTTCTCTGCTCGTGTTGACACCATAACAGGATATTTGACAAATTAACCAAAAGAAATACTATGGTACTTTACTCCTACAGGTTTGCGGATTCTGCTTTATACCTTATCTTTTTTCCAGTGCTGGTTCATTAGCTTCATGGCTACAGCTGACACCACCAATACTGCCACTCGGCTTCACTGCCCGTGTTTGACACCGCGTCAGCTGGAGGCTAGAACCACAGTGTGTGTCTGTGCACACGCATGCACACGTACATTCGGTCATACAGTAAACAATTATTCCAGCAAAGGTTTTGAAATTGGAAATAATGTCAGATCTATTTCTGGTAAATGACATACAAACGCGAACACACACCCACGTGATCTTTACATTGGCTATATCTTAGCTTTTAGATAAAATAAAATAATGCTGTCTTAGTAGAATGCAAGGTGGCCTTAATAGATATTACTTATATGTAAAATATCCTACGTAATTATATATCCTATTTTACGTGTGCTCCGTTTACTCCTTTCCCCGGCATGTCTGAGTCGTGTCTCTTGTTCATTTTTCCAAATCTACCTCAGAGCCTATCTTGTCCGAGGCCTCTATTTTGCGTCTGTATTTCTTTTTTTCAGTCTCAGACATCAGATTTGCCTGCTTTCTCTCTACTCTAAAACAAAGGTGCTTTGTGAAGACAAATATCATTTTTCCAGGGGTGACTTAAGCCTGTTGCTAACCAGATGAGTCAGAAGCTAGCACCGCCCTGGTAGGGTGACATGCCCACTATGCAGATCTTGTACATTTGCCTACGCAAGAGGGCTATGTAGAAAGAGTCATTGTTAATGTCAGTAGAGGGGTGGCTTCTACTTTTTCTGTGTATTTTTCTATATTGTTTGAATATGTGAAAACTAGTGTGCAAATGTGCATGTATTTTTTAAAGTAACTTTGTTCAAAGCCAAGGCAGGAAGAATTTGCTTATTGTTTGTTTCAGGCTGGCTATAATTGTAATTGTAGTTATTGTTTTCAGGTATTCAGTGAAAAGCTGCCATGTCCTTACCTCCTTACTCTTAAAAGTTATCATCTTGAGATGGTTTGTTTAAGATTTTGCATTTTGGGGAAAATGTTTGGAATAAGAATGCATATACAGACATTCATGCCAAATTTCCAAACCTCAAATACTCCCTTTCTAATGCTTAAAACATGCCATCATCCAGAATTTTTTGTTATATAATATACTTAATTACTCTTATATAAAAACAGATTTTCTGGTGGGGCGCAGTGGCTCATGCCTGTAATCCCAGCACTCTGGGAGGCCCAGGTAGGAAGATTGCTTGAGCTCAGGAGTTTGAGACCAGCTTGAGCAAGAGTGAGACCCTGTCTCTACTAAAACATAAAAAATTAGCTGGGCATGGTGGCATGAGCTTATAGTACCTGCTACTTGAGAGGCTGAGGCAGGAGGATCGCTTGACTCCAGGAGTTTGAGGTTTCTGTGAGCTAGGCTGACGCCACGGCACCCTAGCCCAGGCAAAAGAGTTAGAAACACACACACATACATACACACGCACACACACACACACACACACACACACACACAAACAGATTATCTGAATCCCATTTGTAGTCAAGAGGAATTTAAATTTATCTGAAATCAGTAGTTTTTGAAAACACTGCCTTAATAGCCAAGGATTGCTTCAGTTTTCTTTCGGTCAGAAGCTAGCAATTCAGTCTTATATTTAACATAGCTGTAATCTTAGACTTGTTTTGGATTCTGACCCTTTATTAACTTCTATATTTTATAGTCACTATTAGTAGTTTTAGATTATTTTATCTAGAAGTAATAAAACTTTCTTTAAAAACATGGGAAGGTGAATAGATTGGAAACGTTCTTGTCACTCTGCCCTTTTTACTTCCAACTGTAGTTGCATCAGATTGCTACGGTTTAATTGAATAAGGCTTAACAATGACATGATAACCGAGGGAAAACTTAGGATGACAAATGTGAAGTTTTTGCTTTAGGGAGAGTTACAGATCTTCATTTCTCTCCTGTGTGCTGTGGAGCTCGTCGTGCCCTAGTTCAGAGCACCCAGACGCCACTCTGCTTTCAGGACCCCTCGAGTGCCTCCTCCGATCCTGATCCCCCAGTTGCCTGAACCAGGGGGCTCCCTCCAGAGAGACTGTCCATGAGGTTCCATCTCTTAACCACTGGAAAAGGAGTGTATTTACTCGGCTTAAGTGCTTCAGCCCCCCTCCCCCTGTCCGTTGTTATGTACAGATTCTTTTATTATCATAAATCATGTTTTATCATCCCTCCTCTTTCGTACTATGGCTCTTTGGCTTTTCTCTACTTCTTACCAGTAAATCCATTTCCAGCTCCAAATTGATAAAGAAAAATAAATTGAGGGTTTAATAATTTTTGCCTATATATTTCTTCCACCAGACTTACCATAAACATGATTGTTAATGGTGATTAGGAGAAAGGACAAGGGGTACCTTATCCAAATTACCTACCTCAAATAGAACGAGAAGAAAAAAAGCAACATTTGCTAAAAATAGAACATTTCTGAGAAGTCATAGGAACATCTTTTGAGTGCTTTCTATATGCCACGAGCTTTTCCAAATACTTTATGTGTGTTTTCATTTATTCAATCCCCAGGACAGCCAAAGGAATTACAGTCTCTGTCTGCATCAAGCAGAACAATTATGGGCAGTTATGGGCATTCTTCTGGTTTTAGGGTGCTGGGTTTTGAAAAAAATGTTTCTTTTTAGTCATCATGGGAGTTTGAATAAAATATTTCAGTTAAATTTCCGTCCGTATGAAATGCCAAATCTTTTGTCTCCTTGGGCCTTCCCCAAATCTATTCATTGCAGTAGGTTTTCCACGAAACCTACTGCAGTAGGTTTCTGGTTACTCTGTAGTTTTTTCTATGTAGCAGTTTTAACACCTCCTTTCTTTCTGTACCACCCACTCAAGCTCATTCCAGGTGCCCTCAGCAAATGACTCCCAAGGTATTTAAGTGGCCAAAGCTCATTCAATTGACCAATGAGGAGACATGTGCCATGTCTACCAGAATGACGCAGTTCCTGGGATCAGGATCGAAGGTTGCTTTAAGCAAAGCTTTTGTTATAATTAGCCTGTTGCAGCCAAATTTCAAGACTGGAAAGGTAGGGAAGCCTTATTTGTTTTAATCAAAGAGAGGAGAAGATGGTTGTGTTTGGTTAAAGCGATTTAAATCACACCAGATAGACTAATGCTCTGTTTTGTTTGTTTTTTAATTGAAGGCAAAAAGAAAATTTGGAAGTTTATAAAAATTTCAACTGCTGCACAATATGCCTTACCAGCAGTAAAACCAAAATTCTTAAGTGATAACATTAAAAAAAATCAGTTTATCTAGCAGCTTTTCACTTTACACATTTGAAAAATACGGATCTTTACAAAATAAAGTATTTTTTTCGTAATTTGCTGCTACTTAGGATGAAGCAGGAATTTATCAATAATTTCCACATTTGTTTTTCAAAGTCATTTGTGAGTCTTTTAGAGAAGAAAACTGTAATTTTAAGATGTGATGATTAAAAAGAAGAAAAATTAATGTAATTAGCTTTATGAAAATTAATACATAAAGGTTAACAATAATGACATTTACTTTCAGAGAAAAGTTTTGGTATAGACTCTTGTGTCAATGATTTTTTCAAACTAATATTTCAGTTTATGAAATGGAATTATTTAAGTGTAGGTTATAAGCATTGAATTAGTTTCACTTTAGTTATATTTTATATGCTGTTTAACATTTGTTTTTATATTAACTCAAATGACCAGAGAAAGAGAATTTTTATTATATCTTAATTCTCTCTACTTGGAGTGGAGTCATTTGGATAGCACTTGAAATAGAAGCTATTCTTCAAAAGAAAGATACTCTTTCCTCTTAAGAAACCCTTTTTCCCTCATGATAAAATCCCTCTTCATTATGATGAATCAATGTTTCGACAAAATGTATACATGAGAAATGCATATTATTATACTTATTTATTAGCTACATTTACTATTAAATGACAAGTTTGGATTCAAAGAAAAGTACAATTGGTTTTTCATGATGGCTTTTTTCCCAAAGGTAGCTTAATATGGGTTTGTATTTTTATAACAGAGTGGCACTATTTGGTTAAAAATTATTTTAAATATTTAGTTTTTAACTCTACTTTTGTCTATTTTGTAAGGAGAATTTTTTAGGGCCCATATCACTAAGTATTAAATGTCTAATCATTTCAATTATCCCAGATTCCCTTTTCTAATTTTGGCACATTCATTTAAAAAGATTTGCACCTTGCAATTTTCTACTTTTATTTAGATTTGTTCCTAATGCCATTTTGTGAGTCGTCTACTACTCTTCAGATCGCTGTTATGTATGTCTCTTACTCTGGTTGACTCTGGGAGGCAATTTGCAATCACAGTGTTAACTACTCACAGTGCAGAACACTTGCCCAGCCGTCTCCCCAGTGCAAGTAACGCGGTTTCTCAGTTCTAAGCTAAGGTTCAAAGGTTTAGACTAACATCACGGATCAGAGGTCAGGCGCGAATTGCTGCAATTTGTAGTTCAATTCTGTGGATGTGACAGAATTTCACAGCTATGATGATTGCTTTTTTCTACTTATACACACAGGGCAGCTCTGCAGTTAACAGCATAATTTGTACAAGTCAGCCCTTGGCACCTGAGTTTAATGAGTAACTAACTGGTGCCTTAGGTTTCACTGGTACAAGGTGCATATGAGGGGGAGGGGAGTGATACCTATGAATACTACCACCTATGAATCATACGGAAAGATCCAGTAATTTGTGTTCATTTTTTAAATTATATTTCCATAGTGTGAATGTTAGTATGTTCATTTTCTCTGCTACTGGAAGAGGTAGGTAATTTTGTTAAATGTTAGTAAGAAAGAACTGTCTGATTAAGGGTTATTATTGACTAGCCAGTAGAAAGTGAAATTGCAGGCTTATTTATTCATTTCGTAGAGTCTCTGATTTCTCAAAAACTTTCTATAATGTGACAATTTTTTTAAGAATTTAGGGAACAGGCCGGGCATGGTGGCTCACACCTATAATCCTAGAACTCTGGGAGGCCAAGGCAGGAGGATCACTTGAGGTCAGGAGTTCGAGACCAGCCTGAGCAAGAGTGGGAGACCCCGTCTCTACTAAAAATAGAAAAATTAGCCAGTCATTGTGGTGTGTGCCTATACTCCCAGCTACTCGGGAGGCTGAGGCAGGAGGATTGCTTGAGCCCAACAGTTTGAGGTTGCTGTGAGCTGATGCCACAGCACTCTACTCAGGGAAACAGAGTGAGACTCTGTCTGAAAAAAAGAAAGAATCTAGGGAACAAATTGGAATACCAAGTATTCCTGAGCCTGTGATATTTATGCACATCTGACATTCTCTACTCTTCTTCACCCATAAAGTTGAATTCTTATTTTTATTTCCAACCCAGGTTGAGAATATCTTTTACTGTTTACAGTTGAATACTGGGACTCTTGAAAAAAATTCTTAGATGGTGGGCCTTGACAATTCATGGACTTGCTTTTCAGTTTTGATGCCTCATGGTAACTCTGAAGCTGCAATGTGCACACATAGAGAGAGTCATTTGTCACTTTTGTGATAGCACAAATTTGAATTTCTCCTCTTCCCAACTGGGGAGCAGAAGCAATTGGATTCTTCCATAGAAGGCTTGGCTTTGAATCCCAGCGTTATCACTTACAGCTAAGGGCCCCTCCCAAACGGGCAGCCTCATCTTGCCTCGGTTTTGATACAGAGCTTGCTTCATGAAGTTGTAGCAAGGATTACATAAGATGTATGTGTGATGCTTAGGCCTGTGCCTTGCGCATAGCAAACATGGATGTTAGCTGTTACTGCCATTATTAATATTATTAAGTTGCTTGGGTTGTGAATTGGCTTAGCCTGCCCTGTCTACCATCCCATGTTGGTTTAGACTTGGTCTTCGTTCATTTTATGAGGGGTACAGCTATGGCATAGTTGGATAAGGTGATTTGGAAATTTTCCATTTTCCGTTTGCATCCCTTTTGAATGTCATGGGGAAATGTATTTTAACATCGCTCAGTTTGAAGTCCAGCACACTTTTAGATGTTATCTTTTTTCCTTAGCTGATTTGCTGTCACATGGCAAAAGCTGTAAAAGGAGATAAATCCAAATCATCTGGTTTCCTTTCAGAGTTCTTTTCATTCTGACAAGCAGTGAGAACATTTGAGCTTTTAATAAAATCCATAAACGATACCTTGCCAGTGAGCTAAATTCTATCCTTGATGATATATATAATATATATCACACTTATTAGAATTCATGCTTTCCAGAAATAACAGAAATGAAAGTGATTTTTTTAATCCATTTTTAAAAAATTCATTCTTTTTTTTTTGAGACAGAGTCTCACTTTGTTTCCCAGGCTGATTCCCATGGCATCAGCTTTGCTCTTAGCAACTTTAAACTTCTGAGCTCAAGCGATCCTCCTGCCTCAGCCTCCCAAGTAGCTGGGACTACAGGCATGCACCACCATGCCCAGCTAATTTTTTCTATATATATTTTTAGTTGGCCAATTAATTTCTTTCTATTTATAGTAGAGATGGGGTCTCGCTCTTGCTCAGGCTGGCTTGGAACTCCTGATCTTGAGCAATCCACCCACTTCAGCCTCCCAGAATGCTAGGATTACAGGCATGAGCTACCTCGCCCAGCCAAAAATTTCATTCTTATGAATTGTAAAAATATCATTTGGATAAAAGCATGATTTTAACTATTAATGACAATGTAATAATTATGTGCTTAGCATTAAAAAGGTAGTAACAACACCCCACATTAATTAAACAGTTAAGCACCTACTATGGGCCAGGATTGGGTGTAGGGCACTAGAATTATAGCTATGAGTCAGATAGATTCTGCCCTCATAGAGTTTAAAATGGACTCAAGTTTAAAATGGACTCACTATTATAGCAATTACTATAAGATTAAAGCATATAAAATTGTCAACATTCTACCATTTTTGCCCTACAAAATGGCACTTTCATATGTCTCAACCTAGTGTTATGAAGGATAACATGATGTTGGGGACTCCAGAGATGGCTTTCTGGAAGGAGCGAAGTCTGGGATGGGTCCTAGCTGGCGAGGTAGGCAGGGGACCGGTGAGGGTTTGAAGCATTGGGAACAGCATGTTTGTACTGCGGGGAAGTGACCCGGGGTGGGGCTGCAGGAGGACCTGGATTCTTCCTCATGGGCCTTTACAAGGGACACTGACTTACTCTAAGGGCAATGGGAAGAGAGTGTAGGGCTTTAAGCAGGAGGATGGTATGACCATATTGTGTGTGTGTGTGTGTATATATATACATACATTTTTTATTTGTTTTTTTGACAGAGTCTCGCTCTGTCGCCCAGCCAGAATGTAGTGGCATCAGCCTAGCTCACTACAACCTCAAACTCCTGGGTGCAAGCAATCCTCCTGCCTCAGCCTCCCGAGTAGCTGGGACTACAGGTGTGTGCCACGATGCCCGGCTGATTTTTTTCTGATTTGGGTAGAGACAGCGTCTCACTCTTGCTCAGGTTGGTCTTGAATGCCTGGCCTGAAGTGATCCTCCCATCTTGTCCTCCTAGAGTGCTGGGATTACAGGCGTGAGCCACCAAGCCTGGCCCCAATTGTATATTTTTTAAAAGGTTACTTTACCTGAACAGAGACCTAGATTGATTGTAGTGGGCCCAAGTAGATAGGACAAAGCCAGCTGAGAATGTACTGCAGGTGTCCAAGTAGGAGCTGATGGCTGGCAGTTTACAAGATGCTTTCAAATGCTGCATCTTATTTAATCCTTGTTAGGACCTCGTGTGAGGCATTAACATCAGCTTCCTGTATAGGTGAGGAAGCCGAGGCCCAGAAAGTCACGTGGCGTGCCCGTGCGGATTGCAGGGTGAGAATTAGCACTGTGGTGCCTGGCCTCCTCCTATTGGCTTCGCTGCAGCTTTAGGCCCATGTGTTAGCGTCCCTGGCTGTGAGCAATTGATTTATCTTAACCGCTTCGGGACCAGCGTGGACTGTAGTCGACAGCCCAGATGAACGGGCGCAAGGACTGTAGCCGACAGCCGTCATACCTTCTTGATATGACTTTTCTAATTTTTCATTTATCAAAATAAAACCGTGAACATTTAAAAATAACGTAATGAAAACATATATGTGCATGTTACCTATTCTGATTGACATGACAAGTAAAGCTGCCTGTGAAGTAAAGCTGTTGCTGCTTTCCCGCTTCCCGCGTCACACGAGAGCAGACGGGCTGGTGGCGCATGCGCAGCGCAGAGCGCGGGGGGCGGGGCAGGCTGGGGGCGAGGGCTCGCCGCCGTGAGCGCTGGATGGAAGTGGTTAAGAAAGGGTCTGGGTTTTTGCTGTTATTGTTGTTGTTCTGGTCTTTAGAAACAGGGTCTTATTCTATTGCCCAGTACAGTGCGAGATCTTAGCTCACAGCAGGATCACCAGTCTCAGGCGATCCTCCTGCCTCAGCCTACTAAGTAGCTAGGACTACAGGTGTGCACTACTACACCCAGCTAATTTCTTTATTTTATTTTTATTTTTTTGTACAGGCAGGGTCTCACTGTGTTGTCCAGGCTGGTCTTAAACTCCTAGCCTCAAGTGATCCTCCTGCCTGGGTCTCCCAAAATGTTGAGATTACAAGCATGAGCCACTATGCCCAGCCAGGATCTGTTTGTAAGAAATAGAGTTCTCATTTCTTTGGGGAGGGTAGAGGTGAGAAAGTTATTTTTAGCCTATGTTTATGATGAAAAAAGTAAAACAGGGCATGACTTGATGTTAGACTGGAGCATCTTTCTGGAAAAAATTAATTTCTTAATGTCATGTATTTATGCATGCCCTGCCTTATCCCGAAAATGGAGTTGAAGCAGCTTTCATAACTACATATGGCCTGACAAGACACAGAAAGAAGACGGGGCAAAAAACTCAGGGCAGGCAAATTAAGATAATGCCAGGGGCATGCAACAAACATTTGCCCTCTAATCTCGCCATTTGTTGAAGAGTCAAGAGCAGTAAGTTTGCCAGGGTTGAAAATACTGCGCTCAGCACAGCCTTTTCTTCTGCTGGAGTCTGCTGCGGCGGAGAGCAGGCCCACGGCAGTTTCACGGTGCCAGAAGGGGGGGTGGGATGAATTAATGAACATGGCTAATGTCTGGAAACCAATTAATTTCTCTAGGAACTGCCCCACAAATCTTATCAGTATATTTCCTACCTACTGTGTGACCTTTGGTAAGACAGTTTCCTCTGTAGTAAAATCAAGCATGTCCGTAAGAGCGCAGCTTCTCAAACTGAGTTCCCTGGGCTACCCAATGTTGAGGAATGAGAAGCCACAGGACAAACACAGCATGTGGGCTTTGTCTGAAGGTTTTGGTAACAAAACAGTAGAAAAAAAAGTGATCCTTCTTTCCCTTTTTATGATATAGCACAAAACTACATGAATCCTGTGTTTCATTTACATATTAATAATTTGCTTTCAACTCAGGGAGTTTATATGTGTATTACCTTGATAATACATTTTAAAGGGGGAAATTTTACCATTGTAGAAAGAGTGAAAACTCACAATTCTACACAAATAGTATGTGCCAGGAATAGTGCTTTCTTTATAAATAGTTTCTCTGTTCTCCACAATAGTTCTGCCAAGAATTATCTCCACTTTATAGATGTGAAAACTGAGGCTCAGAAAAATGGAATATACTTGTCCAGATTCACTTAGCTAATAAATGAGGGATGTAGCAGTCTAAATTTTATTCTACTATCTTGACAATATATAATTAATTTCATGACATACCTTGTAATTTGCACATCCATCTTCGCAGTGTTTATCAAACACTGTGATGTTGACTATTAGGCATCTTTTTCTTTAATTATTGTGGGTACATAATAGTTGGATGTCTTTATAAGGTACATGTGAAGTTTTGATACAGGCATACAATGTGAATTAATCAAATCAGGGTAATTAGGATATCTATCACTTCTTTGTGTTAGGACATTCCAGTTCCACTCTTTTAGTTATTTTAAAGTATACCTTAACTTATCATTGATTATAGTCACTTTGTTGTGCTATAAAATATTGTTCATTCTATCTAACTAACTACTAACATATTTTTGCACCCATTAACCACACCCACTTTATCCCCACTCCTGCTACCCCATCCCAGCCTCTGGTAACCTTCATTCTACTCTCTGTCTCCAAGAGATCAATTGTTTTTGATATTTAGCTCCCACGTAAGACTGAGAACAAGATTTGTCTTTCTCAGCTTGGCTTATTTTTTATTATTATTATTAATGCTTAACATAATGTTCTCCAGTTCCATCCATGTTGCAAATGGCAGAATTTCATTCTTTTTGTAGCTATATAGTCTTCCTTGTGTATATGTACCACAATTTCTTTATTCATTCATCTGTTGAAAGACATTTTAAGTTGATTCCAACTCTTGGCTATCATGAATAGTGCTGCAATAAACATGGGAGTATTGCTCTGTAATTTATATGAGGGCTTGGCTTTTTTTTTTTCTTTTAGGAGATCATTGATATTACTAATAAGGATTAAAACTATGTCATGGTTAAGTATTGTTTGTATTCTCATAAGGTTACAAATGCCACTGAGCTCTAGTCTTTCCAAAATGAAGATAGTTATGGCAGAAAAAATTTTGAGCTTTAACTGACTTTAGAGGCCACCAAATCCAGAAGGTTCCAGTTGTGTTCTGTGGACCCTAAAGGTCCATAGTGTTCCCACTGGGCCACAGCAAATGCTGGAGCTAGAGGTGCCTCCCACTTTATCCTCTACCTGCACTGTTTTATCGGTTTTATTTGTTTCTTCACCTAGTTAGATTTTTGGTAGAAGAAAGTGTTACCACTAAAAAACAAAGAAAAAGAATTTGAAAACTTCTGATAATCCAACGCCTGTATTTTTTTGAAGAGGAGCAAACTTTGGCTCAGAATGGTGAAAAGATTTGCCTAAAATCACAGAACAGGGCATGGCAGAGCTAGAATTACAGTAGCCTTCTAGCTCCCAAGTCTAGTCTTGCAACCGCTGTGCCATATTGAATCTTACACATTTGGACGTTTATAAGTTATTTGGATGGTAGCTGAGGACTCTCAGTAGTTGAGAGAATCAGGCAGATTATATTTCCACGTGTAAAATAAAAATAAAATGTTGTGCTTAGCATATATTTTAATGTTTCATTAGAAATATCTTTGTCTTGAACTTTAAATCCTTTTCTTTTGAATATTTTCTATATCGTGACTTTTTTTTTTTTTTTTGGAGACAGAGTCTCACTTTGTTGCCCAGGCTAGAGTAAGTGCCCTGGCATCAGCCAGGCTCGCAGCAACCTCAGACTCCCGGGCTCAAGCAGTCCTCCTGCCTCAGCCTCCCGAGTAGCTGGAATACAGGCATGTGCCACCTACCAGGCTAATTTTTTCTATATATATTACTTGGCCAATTAATTTCTTTATATTTATAGTAGAGACGGGGTTTCGCTCTTGCTCAGGCTGGTTTCGAACTCCTGACCTCGAGCAATCCGCCTGCCTCGGCCTCCCAGAGTGCTAGGATTACAGGCGTGAACCACCACGCCCGGCCTATCATGACTTTTTTTATTTAAATTTTTTTATTTTATATATTATTAGTTGGCCAATTAATTTCTTTCTACTTTTAGTAGAGATGAGGTCTCGCTCTTCCTCAGGCTGATCTCGAACTCCTGAGCTCAAACTATGTGCCCATCTCAGCCTCCCAGAGTGCTAGGCCTGAGCCACCACGCCTGGCCTATCATGATTTTAAGATTATCCTGGAATCCCAAACCATATTTTGCATAGGTCTCTCCATGCAGAGAACATCCTCAAAAAAGAGTCTAAACTCTACATTTTAGGGCAGATTAGTAAATCTCTTTCATACCAACTCTGATTGTTAGTGGATAGCTGGAATACTTGTTTCAGTGGTTTTGGGGACCCTCTCTGAAATCTATAGGATGAGTGTGATGAATTGTTAGTGATGTGTAGCATAAGCCCCCAGATAGGCTGGGGAGGCCCATGACCTAAATATTATCATCTCCACAAAAGGCACTACTTCTTTTTTTATGTGGGTTCATAAGAATAAAATATAGGCTACATCTCTATTCCTTCCTAAACATTATGTCCATCTTGAAGTCATGCATGCTCAAAAAAGGTGGAGGGAAAAATACAACAAGTAAAAGAAATTGGCCATTTTCTTATTACTATTACGTTTCTTCTAGAATAGGATGAAGGCTTGCATTTCTTAGTTTGTAGAGAACATGATAATTAGAGTAATGGTATTTCATTTTCTGAAAAAAATGGCCCTCTAATTTCTAATGCACATATGAAAATTATATTGAAGTAGAAAACATTTCTACTACTATTATTATTATTATTTTTTTTTACTCCTTAGGATTTGGCACAAAGGGAACTCTAAAAACTGAACAGAGAAATCCAAAGCAAGCTGCCTGAATTTGCCTGTATACTCCTGCGTCTTACAAAGGACGAGACAAATCAAATTGGTAGTTTTTGGTGAGTAACCTCTCCTGAGATCTTTTCTTTTCCACTTAAGGAAAAATGTAAATGTTCATTCCTATCAACTAAGATAGCTGCTGCTTAGACAATATGTACCTGGTGTGCATATAGGGCATTAGTGGTATATACAACATGTTCAGTCATTTGGAACTTAACAACATAAATCTTTACTTTTTGTACACTTTACATCTTTGTAGCCTAAAAGGAAAACAACTGCTATATGCAGGTGAACATCTCAGGAGTTAAGACACACAAAATGTTGCTTACAAATCTGCCTCTTAACCCTCCAAAAAAGAGGTCAATAGTATTTCAATCAAACTTTCAATGTGTGGGACACAAAGAAGGCTTCTTTGCATAAGCCAGACTAGGATTTAGTGTGATAGTATTTCATGTTTTTGAGCAATCCTCATACCCTCTCTAAGTTTCTATTTCCTCACCTGTCATATAAGATAAAAATGACTGTCATGTCTGACTCTCCAGTTCATAACAGTCCAATGCATTGCATTCATCCATCAATGGACATGGGCCTGTTTGCATTTTTTAGGTATTGTGAATAATATTGCTATAAGCATTGGTGTACAAATGTCTGTTTGAGTTTTGCTTTCAGTTCTTTTGGATATATACCCAGTAGTAGAATTGCTGGCTCATGTGGTGTTTCTGTTTTTTAATTTTTTTTTTTTAAGTACCACCATATTGTTTTCCCTAGCGGCTGTGCCATTTTACATTCTGACCAACAGTGCCCAAGGGTTTCAATTTCTCCACATTCTCATTAACACTTGTTTTGTTTTTTGATAATTGCCTAAATTATAATGCATGTGAAGTGGTTTCTCTTTGTGCCTTTGATTTGTGTTTTCTTAATGGTTAATGATGTTGAGCCTCTGTTCATGTTCTTATTGGGCATCTGTATATCTTCTCTGGAGAAATGTCTAAGTCCTTTGCCCCATTTTAAATTGAGTTGTTTGCTTTTTTTGGTTGTCATTGTAGGAGTTTCTCCCCCCCCCCCCCGGGCTACAGTGCTGTGGCATCAGCCTAGCTCACAACAACCTCAAACTCCTGGGCTCAAGGGATCCTCCTGCCTCAGCCTCCTGAGTAGCTGGAACTACAGGCATGCGCCACCATGCCTGGCTAATTTTTTCTATATATATATATATATTAGTTGGCCAATTAATTTCTTTCTATTTATAGTAGAAACAGGGTCTCACTCTTGCTCAGGCTAGTTTCGAACTCCTGACCTTGAGCAATCTGCCTGCCTTGCACTCCCAGAGTGCTAGGATTACAGGCGTGAACCACCGCACCCAGCCTGTAGGAGTTCTTTATATAGTCTGGATATTAATCCTTTGTCTAATATAAGATTTGCAAATATTTTCTCTTATGCTATGGGTTGCCTTTTTACTCTCTTGACAGTGTCCTTTGATAAACAAAAGTTTTTATTTTTTTATTTTTCTTATTTATTTTATATATATATATAATTTTTTTTTTAGTTGTCCAGTTAATTTCTATTTTTTTAGTAGAGACAGGATCTTGGTCTTGCTCAGTCTGGTTTTGAACTCCTGTCCTTGAGAGATCTTCCTTCCTCGGCCTCCCAGAGTGCTAGGATTACAGGCGTGAGCCACCTGCCCAGCCAAAAGTTTTTAAGTTTGATGAAGTTTAATTTATTTTTTCTTATGTTGCCTATAGCTTTCGGTGTCATCCAGGAAATCATTACCAAATCTAATATTGTGAAACTTTTCCTTAAGATTTTCTTCTAAGATTTTTATAGTTTGAGCTCTTACATTTAGGTCTTTGAGCCCTTTGGGGTTAATTTTTATACTTAGTGTAAGGTAAAGCCAGGATGCCTTTAAATACGTGCTTTTCATTCCCACCAAGTCTCAGTAAAGGCCTGTGTCAGCTAGGTAACCAAACCACACAAATATTTGCACCCAAAATTTGTTCTGAATTATTTTTCTTCCTGGTGTAGGCTTAGGTGGTTTCCAGCAGACAGGTGAAATGCAGCGGGCGTCGGGGGAGCTGCTGGCTCCCGCAGCTGGGTCATGGCAGCGAGGGGCTTCCTGGGGTCAGCGAGAGTTTTGAGGAAAGCAGCAGAGGTGGGCAGTGTTTTAGACTAGAAGGCAGGGGTGCTGCGTGTCTTACAGGGGTGTGTGGTGTATGTACTTGGCAGCCCAGGAAAGGAGAGAGGACACAAAAATGTGGTTTGAACTGTGGGCTACAGTAGATAAAAACATTGTACAAAAATAAATCTCTCTTCATGCTGCTTTAAGAAACAAAACTAGATCAGCCACAATTAGGGGCCATGTTTCCAAAACAGTTGTCCTATCCCTGTTTTATTGTGGACAGAGCCTGGCTGTACTTAAAATATGAAATATGAAGGTCTAGCTAGACGTCCTTTGCAGAAGCTTGAGAAGTAAGAAGAAAGCCCCTGCTGTGTCAGCCGCCTTACCTGGGGCCCGATGTCCTCACCTCGGGAGGGCGCGGCCACGCCTCCCCAGCACAGGCAGTGCCAGCTGCTCCGCGAGGGCAGGTTCTCAGTCAGACTCTCGACATTACAGTGCTTGCTGCTGGCAGTTAGGTGTATTAATTCCAAATAAATTGATGTTAAATCCATTAAAATCTAGCCAGGCGCAGTGGCTCCCACTTGTAATCCTAGCACTCTGGGAGGCCGAGGCGGGAGGATCGCTCAAGGTCAGGAGTTCAAGACCAGCCTGAGCAAGAGCGAGACCCCGTCTCTACTAAAAATAGAAAGACACTAATTGGCCAACTAATATATATAGAAAAAATTAGCCGGGCATGGTGGCTCATGCCTGTAGTCCCAGCTACTTGGGAGGCTGAGGTGGGAGGATTGCTTGAGCCCAGGAGTTTGAGGTTGCTGTGAGCTAGGCTGACGCCACGGCACTCTAGCCTGGGCGACAGAGTGAGACTCTGTCTGAAAAAAAAAAAAAAAAAGTCCGTTTAAAATCTGACTTCAGGACCTATGAAACAAACCATGGCCTGCCCAGCCCTCTCCTGGTTTCACGGGGACTGGTTTAGGTCCTCAGCTGTCCTAGCTGCTGTAGGTCCTCACTTTCTGTTTGCCATAAAAGGGGATTTGGAGAAAGAGGAAATAACTGAGTCAATTTCTGACGCAGAACGGTATAAGATAGGCCATGCCTTCTGAAAACAGTTTGCAAGACTGGTATACTGTTTCCCTTGAAGCATTAAAGTCATTTCACACTTTATTAACTCAAAGAATATCCAGTATTTCTCTTTGAGACTAGGAATAAATGATTAGCTCAAGTCAGGGGCATTTTTATTGGTATGTTAGTTTTTCTACTGAAATATTAACTCCAAGTGCACACAGTGAAAGTACAGAGTACATAAGACATGAACAGTAATTAAACTCCTGTAACAGAGGCCACAGGAGTTTGATATACCTAGAAAATCTTAAGTTTCCTAACATTTGAGCTTGAGCATTCATTTTAAACACTCTAGGTTTGGTAAAACTCTGGATGTGTGTTTTCTGTTTTCCATTCTTAATTTAAGTGCATATTTCATGAGTTTCTTAATTAATATAGTTCTGCTTTCTAAGTAACTTTTAATGACTTCCAACTAACTTTAACTGCCTAGTTTTATTATAGAGACTAGGAAAACTGGTTCTCTCCTCCCTCTCTTCCTGCTCCTTTTTGTAAGTAACTTTCCTTAGAAGTAAATAGAGCAACTTTGTTTTTTCCAAATATCTGCAAAGTCTACCTCAGATTATTTATATAAAAGTTTAGCATTTAAGTAACTCTCTTCCCTTTCCTAGTTTTAAAACCATATATTGCTACATTTTATTTAACTGGGGAATACTCATTTAAAAATGTTTTGGGTTTCTTTTTTTTTTTCTCTTTTTTTTTAATAAAAACAAGGATTCAAGCAAGCAGCTAATCAGACAGTATCACTGCTCCATTCTTACATGTTATTCTTGGGTATTTATTAACCAAGGTAATTACATTGAAAAACCAAAGATATTACATGAGAATTTGAGGTGAGTGAGGGAAAAATATTAATAAGAAAAAGAAAAGATTTTTCAGAAAGAAAGAAGGAAAAAAACGGAAGGGAGGGAGGGAGGGAGGGAGGAAGAGAGAAAGTAAGAGAGGGCAAAGGAAAGGTGAATCCAGAGGGAAGACATGGTGTGTGTAGGGGATATTTCCCACTAGATCCAGACTTTCTGTGCGAGTCTCCAGCTCTTTCCTGCCCGCGGCACAGGCTGCCCTCCTGGTGCCGCGCACTCTGGTGGAACGTGGAAGGAGAGATGTGAGTGGCGTCAGTGGACTGGGAACCTTAGATTTCATACGTACGTGTTTGTGTAGCTGTATTATAGGTGGGATCAGACTGACTTGTGACCTACTTCCAACTCATCAAGACCCACTCTGCACAGCGGAGGGCTGCCCAGGGGCAGAGTCACCCCAGGGAGAAGGGGACCCTGTCCCCATGCCAATACCTTCCTCACGGGTAGCCTTTTCACAGGTGGCCACACAAGGCAAATGCACCATATTCAGTGGATGATTTTTCTATAGTTTAAATTAGAGAATCTTCATCCCTCATGAAAATTAAGCACATAGAGAATTCATCTTTAAATTATTAGATTAAAGTTAAAGATCAATTATCCTAGTAACAAGTATGAGTGTTTACTAAGTGCCCCTGTTTAAGATGCTCTGAATGCTTATAATAATATATTACATATTGTCTGATGCCATATCTGTAACAACCCTAAATATGGTTATTTTTACCATTCCCATTTTCCAGTTGAGTGAACTGAGGTTTGGGAGATTAAGTCACTCTTCGAAAGTCACACAGCTGTTAAGTAGTATTAAACTCAAGTAGTCCAGCTCCAGTATGCATGAGCTCAAACACTGTAATTCTCAGCCTCTCAAACTACCTTAAAATAAAAATGCAATTAAAAACTGCCTTCATGTTCAGGCCTAATATATGCGCCTGTTTCCTCATGGAAAAAAAAAAAAAAATCTCTACCCTATTCCTGA